TTTACTCAGTAACCTTTCCGAGCTTTCCATTTGGAAATTTCATGTTGGTGCAGCTTTTCCCACGAGACCTTTTTGACATTACGTAATAGCCGTAAAATTCCTATACCATGACCATAGCTTGATAGGTCAGATAGTGCTCTGCCACTCCATCTGCTCCTTTAATTACCGTATCTGATTGGCTGACTCAGATCCAATGACCTTGAGGTTGTGGCACTCGTTTTTCGCCCTCACAATTGTCGTTCGTCTCTCGCGCGACGGCAGAACGAGCGGCCAGCGCAATGTCTCAGTTTACTGCTCAACGGATTATGACGACTAAGACTCTGTCTCGAATAGCACAAATCTCTCGCTGAGCTCGTCGTTATCAAATGACCGCAATTCTTTGATCCTATCGATTTTCGGCTCACTAACGTTAACGCTCTGAGTCACTTTTTTGCAGTGGAGAAGATCTCTTTATTGTTGTGGCCTCTTGTGTCGTTAGGCTCAGAACTCGTAATTGAATAAAGTATAACCTGACCCCGATCGGACATGTATGTAGAGCACCATGAAAAGACAAATCGCTTTGTTAGTGTGGCCTTTGTTCGACGTTTTTAACATATTCGTGACAGCCGCGACGATGTACTTTTGGTTGTTCGTGGTCTGGCGGTTAATGTTGACAGCATTTTGCAAAATAAGTGCTGTTCAATACTTCACCATTGATGTATGGCCCATTGAGAGCCGCTGACAGCTGCAACGAATGTCCACTACGTCGACATCTGGATCAGCCAGAGTAAATTAAGTGTGGGATTAGTACGGTCGCGGATTACTAGGACGTGGTGATCCTTTTGATGAGACGAAATTTTTTCATTCACTCATTCATTGAATGAAATGTGCTACAAAGGAATACTTCGCTTATGGGTCTGGTATAGGAAAAAATGGAAGCAGAACCTAAATACACAGTCGGCATATTTGCCAATTCATGTCTGGCAAGAAATTCCTCACAGACGCGTCTGCGTCGCTGTCATTCCACTCCACGGTTGTTGTGATTATTGTGCATTTGTGTCCGTATTATTCATGCCATATTCTTCCGGAAATGGCTCCAATCGGTCCTTTGCGCAACCCTACTACTTGATGATTCGGCGCAAGTCTCAAATGGCAGTGTAGCGTACGCAGGCGTTCTGCTCACACACTTCCAGTAATGGTGGTGATTCAAAGGGGTGAGTCACCGGACATCTGTCACTAAGTAAACTGCACTACTTCTAGTCTGTAAAAACGTTTCCCACCTTCCTAACTGCCTGGTCCGGAATCTGACCTCGTCAGAGGGGATTTTGTTAGCAGGTGGCTTTCTTTTGTCGTTTTTCTGCAGAGAATCGGCGACCTATAGAGTCGAGTGCTGCTCGCATGTGTACCGATCGGCTTACCACCGCTTAGCCGAGTGTTCATTACAGGTAAGGGTGCAGCGCAGAATGCGTGTTTATTTGTTCTAGTGGTCAGTTCTAGCTACACACCCGCTTCACTCTGTTTCGAATAACCCACCCTGATGTTACCAACCTAATGCAATGGAAATTTGGCGACGGCCTTCAATATCTTTGGTGTTAAACGACGATGTCTCCATTTCGACAGTCAGCTCGCCGGTCATTCAGTTCCCACCCCCTCTGCCTTTCCACCACCGTGTGTGCGCTGTTTCTCAGCGATGCCGTATTTGACGTATCGGGTGCGCCATCACATGTTGATTTGGTCGTGAAGTGGTGTGCATGCTCTGCGTTCACGTCCATATCGATACGGTTTAACATTCGTTGTTTTGGGTTCAGAAGCCATAGCTGTGCTCTCCAACCAGGGAGGGGCGGGAGGGGGGAGGGGGTTCTATGATTTCTAAATTTTTTGGTTAGTTTTATAAAATAGTTCCTGCTCTGTAAAAGGGGGGATTCTCTGAATTTTTTTTGTTTTTCTTTATAAAATAGTTCCTTCTCTGTAAACACATTTTTATTTCCACACGTTCATTTCGCAAATGTTCCCTTTGGTGCAGCCCTGATTAGGAAAACGAATAAAATTCAAAGAGCTCTCCTCCATGCTCGACCGAGAGGACATAGTATACGACTCCTGGGCATAGTCCTATTGCACTTCGGGCGTTGCTATTCCAGTTATTATGGATCAGTACCGCTGCTGAAGTTATTAATTGAGTGTCTGTGACGTCTTACTGAACAGTAGGCGATGATATCTTCAAACCACTTCTTGCTGTCACTATCTATGAAATGCATCAGAGCGATGAGCGTGCTCTATATTGTAGCGCAAACCTCGTTCTCGGCCTTATATGAGGTTCCGGTGTTTATACTTATTTGGCATTTATTCTAACTATTTATTTGGCATGACATTTTTTGGCATTTATTCTGGCTTATATTCTTCCAAAAGGGCACTCTCTTTGGGTAAGCTCAGAATTATCGAAAGAATATTGCTCGATGTGAAAAAATATGTTAAAAAGAAAGCTTCCGCAGGAAATGAATGGAAAACAGCTGAAAATCACTGTGTCGAAGGAGCTGTTCCGAGGTGCTGGTTGTGCAGTTCCAAATGTTCCTTTAGCTCATTTATTATTTATTATTTTATTTTAGCTCGTCCTCGTTTATGTTCTGTAGTAAGTCACTCACTAGTTTACTTGTCAGCTCTTTTTGTTACTTTCTTCAACAGGCTTCACTAATGCATAACCTATCTTCTGTGAAACGTCACGTTCTTCTGAATTACATCAGAACTTCTACGGTTAGCATCATCGAAGGCTTCAAGAAAGCTGATTGTCATCGTAGTGAAAGGTGTTCCTTGTCCCATTGATTCCAACAGTTTATGGCAATCCTCGCTTCTTCTGTTCACTTTTCAATTAATCTTTCAAACATTTGTAGGCGCTCATGTCCTAGAGGGGGGGGGACATTGAAGTGAGTGGGCCACTAATAAAACTCGGGACTAAGCCTTAGGGAGGGGAAAGAATTCTGAGAGAGACTGTGAGCAACCACTGTTCTACCTTATGTTTATTCCCAACCTGGGCTCAGTTCTAGTATCCTAGTTTCACGTACCAGCGGTTTTAAATGCCCTGCTTTGATTGCCCCCCCTTAAGACATGAGCCCCATTTGTCGATTGTTTTTTCCTGCCTTCTAAATTTTCCAAATTCTTCCTCCGTAGCATACTTATTCATTCTCTCGGTGGTCCTCGCCTAACAAAATGTAGCCATTCGTTACAGTTTGATCTTCAGTGCTGTTAGCCTCATTTCATGTAGTTTTTGTGTGTCAGAATGTTCTCGTGCTCAGCAGTGGTGCGCAATATGCCATTTCGCCAATCTGTGTCATGATTTAGGGCCTCATGGAGGCGACGGCCGAACACGACTTCAATGCTAATGCCGATGATGAATTGAGCTTCCGACGCGGTCAAATCCTCAAGGTATTACACTGTTTGTTATAGGGAACTTCTGTCTTTCTGTAGACGTTCCAGAAATATCTTTGTTACAACGTTGGAATCTAAAAAAATTGAGTTTTCGCTTATAGGAGGTATTTCGGCTAAGTGAAAACTCAATGATTTTTGAAATTACATGACATTTGTAAAAGGCGTTGGTGCCATTAGACGCCGAAAATTCCCTCCATCGAGCTGGTTGAAGAAGTGCAATGCGATGTGCTATTATAATTCTTTCAATGCCGCTGATAAGACCCTCGTCATTACACATTGAATACAAACCATTTGTGCTAAAATACTCATCCAGTTATGGCAATATTCTGTGTTAAATCGTGAGCCAGTTTTCGGTTCTAAAGCATTGTGGTTCCTATTCGTGATCAATCTCATGTTTTCCTACTTAAAAAGCGACATATCTTCTTGAACCAGTTGTTCTGCAAGAGGCTGCAAAATCACTAGGAAAATGAATCGTCTATATCATTTGCTGCACCGAGTGGACCGCCGTTAGTGAGGTCGCACGGGAATAAGTTTTTGTTTTTGCTCAATTTTTTTTTATAAAAAGTGCGGTTTAATTGCCATAATTCATGGTACGAAACGCTTTTGCGATCATTCAACTGTTCCACTACCTTTCGCTGCCTATCTTTTCGGCTCCATTAAGGCCCTTGTCAGAGCGCTGCGAAATGCTCAATGTTCCGGACGGCGAAATGGCGTGAAATAACTTTTTAAATGTTAACTCGTGCTTAACTTATGCTGGGCTTCTGAACTAATGGTAAATGTTCTTGTCGAATGGATCGCAGCCTTGAAAATGTGGTTAACCTAACAGCCTTATGCAGCGTTTGTATCTGCTCAATGCTTCACGTCTTATAAATCTAATATATACACCTTTTTAAAGTCATTCCAGCTGATTTCTGCACGAAGGAGTAGTCATTTGGTTTTCGTGTCCTGTTGATCTTTCCCTTTATCATGATCATTCAATTCATCATCTGTTTTGTGCAGGTGTTGAACAAGACGAAGATCCGCCATGGTTCCAGAAGCAACGCCGGGCTCCCCCATGATGTGAGCTAGATGGTGTCGAAGGATTTGTTCCATCGAACTATATTCGGATGCATGATAGCCCATGGTACGATTACAGTTTTCTTCTAGAAATCATTTTATGCCATTTTCACATACCCAGAGCGTTTTTGTGTATTCGCGTCTTTCTTTCTTTCGAGACTCATCTCTGAAAAATCTTTGTTTCTTGACAGAAATTGCCTGTTACTTTGCTCATTCATGACGTCGGTTTTTTTTTCCTTTCGAATAACGAAATTTATTTAAATATCCATAGATCCTGTGTCTGAATGCTTATTACTTCGTAATCCAGGTATTTGGGAAAGATTCACGATTGGATGCTGAGATATTGCTGAAAAAGCAAGGTACCCGTGATGGCAATTTTCTGGTCCGACAATGCGAAAGTTCTCCCGGTGACTTCAGTATTTCCGTCAAGTAGGTTTTGCCTCATGATCACCATTTTTTCATTGTTCATCTAAAGTTTTTTTGGGGATGGCAGCGTTGATTTGCTTTATTCTGAGAATGTATGTGCTTTGCTTTCGGCTTCCTGCATAACTCTCATGATTTCTTTGATAGAGTTTTTACGAAGAAAATAGTGTCGAAAGATGCTCGCCCATTATTGAAACGTCTCCTAATTTATTGCGACCAGATGACTGTCCGATCGCACAGATGCGTTGCCCCGAAGTAGCTCCACTTCTCATTATTATAGTTCTTTTTTCCTTATAAACGCGTCACGGTTTTTCGTCCGGTGACCTGGGATCGGCGGTATCGCACTGGTTCTCAAATTTCACCATTCGGGAACATGGTGCACCTTGTATTGTAGTGGGAAATGATTGCGCATGTGTTAATGTTATGGAAAGTTGTTTGTTTTCCCAGTTTTCTCTCAGTTAACTTGCAAGATTCTGATTTGTGGTTACATTAGTTAGCTATGTGTCATTTGGACTCGCAGCCCAACATTCCAGAAGAAAAAATGGGTTGTGTTAAGGTAGAGGAGGGGCTCATATGATCAGCGCTTACTTCTAGTGAAAGTTTAGGATCAAGTATTCGTTATATGTTTGTTTGTAAGCTTCCCTTGTTCAGGTTTGAAGATACAATTCAGCATTTCAAAGTTTTGCGTGACAACAATGGAAAGTACTTCTTATGGTCTGTCAAGTTCAAGTCTCTAAACGAGCTGGTGAGATACCATAGGTGAGTTCGTGTTAGATTCATCTAAATTCAATGAGTGATGAGTATTTTGTTGCCTTCCATGTTTTCATTCAATGATTGGAAACATTGACCATTTCTTCTAGTGTTTCCAAGAAGTTCGTCATGAGTGCGTCCGCTGTTGGTGGCATGATGTGAATGTTCCCCCCTTCTTAGAGCAACTTTTTATACAGTGAATGGGAGTAGTCGAAGTAAGAAAGCCCCCCCCCCGAGGCCACTGGGCACTTACAATTTTTCGAGAAATTTTCTTCCGCGTATTCGCAGTTCTAGTTCGAGCGCAGCCCGTTGTACACCATATTTCTCAAGCGATTTGGAGTAGAAGATCTGTACGGTATATGGTATTGTTTTTGCCATTATGATGAATGGAACGAATATAGAATGTGCACTGTGTAACAATGACAGCGAATGCGTTTTTTCTTCTATTCTCCTTAATTTATATTTTAGGACGGCATCGGTGTCACGCACACACACGATATTGCTACAAGATTTGGACTTGGAGACGAAGTTCGTTCAAGCGTTATTCGATTTCAATCCTCAAGAGGAAGGCGAACTGCCATTCAAACGCGGCGAGATCATCACTCGTAAGTTAGAGACGCTCGTTTATCTTTGCTCCGAATAGATGGGCCCGTCGGTGGGAACAGAGGCGCCGCGAGGGCGACGTGCTGGGGACATGGTCTTAAGTGCATTGTGAGGGACATGGGCGAGGGGATTTAAAGTTTGAAAATGAAATGTTTATTCCACTCTTGGCTGGGAGGATATCATGTCATTGAGAGGCATTCAAGTGAGGGAGCTATCACGGTAATTGGGAACAGGGTAACCGTCCGTTCGCCTTAATTCAACGAAAGGCGTTCGCATTTTGATTTCGGGAAAGGGGGGGTCACATCTTTGGCGTTTAGTAAGCGTTATTACATAGTGGGAGCGGAGGTTGACGGAAGTCGTAGAGGGGTTGTTTGGACGGGTTTTTTAAAGAATTTGGTGAAAGCCCCCCTCCCACGACCCCCTTCTACGGCTGTTTTGGGGGAAAAGTGGGCGGGGTTGGGCAGTGCCGACTGGTATAAAAGTTTACAAAACACATCCATTGATGTTGAGAGTGGGTGTCGCGAGAAAGGGATGTATGTAGGGAGCCTTCTAAGACTGATGGTGATTGTGAAGGGTCGCATCGAGACCCCCTGAAAGGTGTGGGGTCGCAAAATTTCTGAAAAAGTGCAAAACGTGACGGTTGATACTGCTTGGGAATAAGCCTCAAGGAAGGAATGGATTCTGGGGGGACGCGAGCAATTTGTATTTTGACTGGCTTTTTTTCCTTCTCAGGGCTGATTCTACAGTGTCACCTGCTATCGGCCTTGTTTGGAATGCCTCTCCCCCTCCTGGTTTACGGACTACTTGAACTTTCTTCCATGGTCCTGCCACGAATGGCGGAGAGCACAGACAATTAGAGAACGGCGCCTGGCTCGGCTCCAAATCCCAAGGAGGGAGGTGAGAGCCCTAGGACTAAGCCTTGTAGGGGGAGGGACTCCGGGTGGGTGAGCCAACTACAGTGTGGCAAAAGTTTGAATGTGTGAGATCACAGTGGTCATGAGCCGCTGATAAGGTGAGAGAGCGCAGACGAGAGCATCGAGTGAGGCGGCTTAAAGGACCGAGTTCAAGTAGTCCGTCGACCCCCCCCCCCCCGAGTGGAATATTTCTATGGGTACCCTAGTGAAGCGGTGTAGGAGAAGTTCTCTGATCGCAATCACATTAGGAGCACCGTTTTACACTCCATAGGGCAGCGGTCGTTTTCTCCTTCGAATTATATCCAGTGACATGCAGATAACAGAAGTTAGTTGGATTTCGTAGCATAGTGGAAACACATGTTTAGAGAGGCATGTCAAGGAAAAGGCGGCGCAGATCTGTCCAGGAGGTGTTCTGTAAATGAAATTAATTTGAGTTGAAATGTACTTTGATTTAGTGATCAACAAGGATGACATGAACTGGTGGGAAGGATCGCTGAACAATAAACGCGGTGTGTTCCCGGCGAACTACGTGTGCCCGTTCAACCGTTCGGCGTCAAACACGTGAGAGAGAAAAGTAGGTGCAAAGGAGGGAAGAGTTCTATGAGTCGTTTTCTTGTCACAATGAGCTCCGACGGTGTGCCTAACCTGTAAGCCGTCGTTCCACAATATTACGGTCCGCAACAAGCATGAGATTATCGTATTAAGATGTGTTTGACGCGTATTTATATCCGATTTTGTTTTACTTCATTTTTTCTTATTCGCACATACATAGTATAGAAGGGAAATTGTATAAAAAAATTTTCATGTTATGCTGAAGAATGCACTGATACGAAAAATATCGGGCATATTATGTTTCAATTTTGTTTTTTCTTTCTTATTCATTTTTTTTTCTTTGCTTGTCGCTTCAATTTCAGTTCCAATAGAGTTACGGTGAATCCGCAACATTGCCAGTCTGTGTTTATTCTTCATTGTTCGGGGCTCTTGCACTTCCAATTGTTGTTTATCGGGCATCATTGATTGTATTAGTAATCTGTTAAGTATTATTTAATTGTGAAATTATCGTTTTGTATAATGCATTGCGATGAGAATGACCGCATGGTATATGTGCTCTGGCCCATTAACAGCAGCTACCGAGGATAGCCGTTTTAGGAAATTTTTTTATCTACCCGTCTTATATTTCACACTCTCCATCTCTCTCGCGCTCCGTTCGCCTTGCTCGTTCTCGGCGGGGGGTTGTCAACGAACGTGTATTGATTAGCCGCAGCGGTCGATAGAGAGTGCAAGGGCATTAAACGAGGGACAGGGGAACTCGACCTCCTTGACGAACACCCTATCGCGCTATTGCAGGGTTGCTTTGTTCTATAGTGTGTAGGTTTAGGGAAAATGCTGACTGAGGAAGGATAGTAACGAACTGTCCTTTTTTATGACCACTGCGTCAGTCGCGATGCGATGTCGTCCGTCGCCCCCTTGTCTCCCCTCCTATGCTGTGATCCGAAAGTTTCTTTCCGTTGACGCTGCTAGCACGCATTTTTTGTCCTCAGTTCCAGTTCACCCATATCATAGTGGTCTGGCATCGTTATGCATTAAGCAATTCGTATATCCGTGTCATAAAAAAGAGTTCCCCATCAAATAGCCAGCCAATCCAGTCGTGCACCACAGTTAATTGCGTCATTTATCAAGCTCGTAATCCGTTGCTCAAGCTGAGGAAACTCCTTGAGCCATATCGTTTTGTCTTATTCTGCTACACTTCATGAATTGTTGTAATTCCATGTTTTTTTTTCATTTTCTGCAAAAACATTTTCTCAAATTTTTCTAGATGGTGTGCCCGCTTTAAATTCCTATCTTCCTATTTTCTTGATAATGTAGTGTGTCTCTTCAAAGTTGGTATAGCTGGACCGATGTTGAAAAAGAGCTAACAAAATCGTGTTTCTACAAATCACGTTGGTGAAGAGATGACGATTAGCTGATTGGTAAGGTGAGGAAGCTATTTAGTCCCTAAAGTAGGTTTTTTGGCGGGGAAATCTCTCTAGTCTATTCATTTGGTGGTCAGCTGATCGTCATGGTCTTGCTGATTGTGACTTGTAAATGCGATTTTCCACTACGTGAATCCATTTCCTTTGCTTGCTTCAATCATGTGTGCATATTCGTATGGAATGAACAGTGATTTTCTTTATCCGTTGTATTTCATGTTTTGACGAAAATTGACTGATGGCCTGATAAAAACCCTTCGTGTAAATTGCTGCAGCATCTAAACACTAAACGTTCTTTCCGCATAGCTGTTTGAGAAGCTGTACGTAGGATCAGAGCCACCGACGGAAGCCGCTCACGGAGCTGTTGGGTTTTTTTTCAGCCTTGTTTCTGCATTTATGGAATGTCATAGGCGCCGTCCCCTGCTGTTTAGTTCATACACGCAGGGTTAGGGTGTTGTCAAAGGTGGAGTTCACGGAAAAGGCAGCTCATTAGAAATCAGGGTAGAAGTTACCAGTTATGTAGAAAAGAAGAAAAAACAACGATAAAACAGCCGTTCCCTCAGAAACAAACACCACTTCTGCTACTTGATTGCAACGTTAAAAGTTACTTGACATCCATGCCTATTCTCCTCAACCGTCCTACACGTTCTCTCCTGGCTAGGCGGCCAAGCCAGACAAATGAGGAGTGGCGAGCACCGTTGAGACGGCCCATGCTATGAGCGCCGGGCAACTCGATCACTTGGTGATCAGCACCTTATGGTGATCCGCGCCTGTCCTTTCACTACTAGGTACTTGACCTATTCTTTTCACGTTCCGACCTTGTCGTGGAATCGCTCGCTTCAAGATTTTCTACAGTGTTAAGTTACGGTGAAATTGAGGGTGACATACGACGGAAAAGCGATAATGAAATTCCTGTTTTCTTCTGGTGTTGCCGCACAGAGCTGGAAATGAGGTCGGCTTGTAGGTTTGGCATACACGAATTTGACCTAGAGCTTGCTTTGTTCGTTATGGGCATTAAGAAACTGTTCTCTATATTCAACTTCGTAGAAAGAGCGCCACTGGTGGCGCTACGGTGAACGGGTGCCTCCAATGATACCATTGATTTTTTCGCCTTGTCAATGCGCCCTGAGAATCCACTGGAAATTCCAATGAAGAGATGAAAGAGCATTGGAGTTGAAGGAGTGGTAGCTAAAATCGCGCAAGTCCGTGTTTCTATCCCTCCGGCAGTCTGGTAACCCCCCCCCCCAACTGCTAAATCAGCGAAAGCAATAGACGTTTTTGGTTGTTCTAAAGAGGTGCATCCAAGGACGCTGGTCTCAGGACAGTTCGCGTTGTGTATCGGGCCACTGTCACGCTTGCCACACCCTTAGCCGAGTCTCAACAAATGAAAACCCCAAATTTCTGAATGGATTGTAACGGGAGCCATGTGGTTGGAAGGTTTGCTTAGAATAGCATCGGGGGGGGGGGGGGGGGGGGGGGGGAGTGGGGGCGGTGGGGGGGGGGGGAGGATGATTGGGGGGGGGGGGTGCCGTTATGATAGCACAGGTCCCTGAAGATCTGAACATTGGCTGGTTTTTGTATATTGTATGGTTATTTCCTTCCTTCTACTGTCTTTGCGGATTCGAGTGAGATTCACATGGTAAGTCGAAACCCTCTGTGCAGCGCTAAAATTAAGATGCAAAGAGATGTCCTTGATGCACTTGACTTTATGCAAGCACTGAGTTTTGTAAAAAAAAAAAGTCAATGGCATAAGTAGGATCGTCCAGCGTCCGGTCTACATGATTCCGCCTGGACCTTTCAAACCTCATACCATTTGTCTGTTACAATGCTGTCTCGACTGAACAACGCCGGGCTCCAACAAGTAATTGTATTGGTGCCACACTCCAGAGTTCAGAGTGTGAGTGAGATACGTGGCGCATCCTCGTGGATTCTTCAATTTGGAGTCCACTAATTTTGAACGAATTATTTGTGATGATATTCCATTCTGAAATCCACGTAGACACGGGGCCATTTGTTTCAGCGAGTGTCTGGTCTAGCATCGTAGTTGATGTTTTAATAAGCACAAGACGGAGTAGTCGGTTTATATGACTGGGAGCAGTCACTCTCAGAAAAGGGCATTGAAAGTACTATCACTTCGCTCTTCGGTTTCGTATGGTCGACGGACTACTTGAACTCAGCCCTTTAAACCGCCTCTGCGCTCTCTCGCGGGTCCCTCTCCTCTCCAAGGCTTAGTCCTAGGGCATTCACCCGTTCTCTAATCGTCTGTGCTCTAGCCATCGCGGCAGGACCATTGAGGAAAAATCAAGTAGTCCGTAAACCGGTTTCGTATGAATAGGCTTCAAAAAGAGGGCCCGCATGGTTTAGGCTCTAAGGCTGCGAAACGGAGACTAAATTGTTTTTTGAATCACACCTCTTTCAATAAAATTTGAAAAAAAAACACCAATTATGCTCTGGATGCGATCTGCCATTCAATCAGAACAAAATTCACTAAATAAATGATTTGTTTCAAGGGAAAGAAGAATAAGATCACTGATTGCTTAAGATGAGATGATGAGGTGTACCAGTGGGCTTAGCCGCCATTGCTCGCTGATTGGGAATAAACGCTGAGATCGAAGTCCGGTAAACACAACTAAACCTTTCGTCCCCCCGAGATTTGTGACTTCGCCCCAAGTAGTCTGGAAGAGTGACTGTCGGTTTTCTATATAGTAGGTGCCGGAAATCTCATTATTGTGGACGAAACACACATCCAAATTTCCCTATGGTCCCAAAATTGTGACGAATGCGTGTCGGGTTCTAAAAAACGGGGGTTCTCAAGAAAACCTCATGAAATCCATTTAGAGATCCGCGATTTCTCCTTTTGCATGAGCGAGCTACTCTAATCTACTGAATCGCATTAGCTCAGCTTCAGAGGATTAGAAGCTGATTAAGAGCGTTTCAATTAGTGAGCAAAATTCTATACACAAATATCATTTATGGGCACTACCGAAACCACTGTGCTGAACTACTCTCCTTCTCCATCAAGTTTTGATTCATTTATGGTTACCATTTTTCTCGATAGGGAGGCAGTGGTGTAGTGGCAAGTGGCCCACTTACTACACGCGTAGTCCAAATCCTGGTTCGTGCGTCGTCCGGACTAACCAAGCCTTTGATTCTTCCGGGGTCCGTTTATTGGCCACTAGACATGATTTGGGGGACCTGACTTGTACATCGGCTGGCCCCCCCGCAAGTCATTGTATAGGCCACATCGCATTCAAACGCCACTACGAATGTACAAATGGAAGTAGAATGCGTGCCGCATCCCAAAAAGGGATTGATCAACGGCAAATGCTTTATCCTTTATCCTTTATTTATTTTCCTTGACCGGTAACATGTACTTGCATGCTCTTTGCTGATCATTGATATTGAGGTAGAACACGATCGAATCCCCATTACATATATTTGTTTAGAAACCTTTTTTGAACAACCTCAATTTAAAATAGTTTTCCTTGAGAGTTACGGCTGCGAAGAGCAAAAAATTAAAAAAAAATCAAATTAAAATGTGTACGATGAAATCTCAATGTTCAGCTGAATTCTAGAAAAAGCTAGTTGTTGTGTA